TCTCTCTCTCTCTCTCTCTCTCTCTCTCTCTCTTTCTGTCTCATTGTGTCATACAGATTACTGTTAATTTATTATGCTGATCTGTTCTGTACGACATCTATTGCACGTCTGTCCGTCCTGGAAGAGGGATCCCTCCCCAGTTGCTCTTCCTGAGGTTTCTACCATTTTTGTTCCCCGTTAAAGGGTTTTTTTTTTTGGGTTTTTCCTTATCCGCTGTGAGGGTCCAAAGGACAGAGGGATGTTGTATGCTGTAAAGCCCTGTGAGGCAAATTGTGATTTGTGATATTGGGCTTTATAAATAAAATTGATCGATTGATTGATTGATTGATTGATTAATTGATTGATTTTGTTCCCAAGATATGGTGTTGAGTAATGGCTCTAAGTGTTTTTGCGGAACATTGTGATTTCACAGTGAAGTTGACCTAAGACCTTTTGGACGTTAATGTCATCAGTTCATCATTAAACCCTATTAGACATTTGTGTGAAGTTTTTTCATGATTACCATATGAATTCTTGACTTATGGCCAAAAACATGTTTGTGGGGTCACAGTGACCTTGACCTTTGACCACCAAACTGAACGCGGTGTACAGAGAGGCAGTTAGAGCTACAGGCTACATTGAGGCTAAAAGCAGAGTTCAAATGACGTTTTTCCAACAACTTTTTATGTCGGGGCTTCAAGACACTTGGATCACTGGTCAGAGAGGGGGGGCGAGCGAGAGGTCCGCGGTTGTTTATAACGTAATGTTATAGATAATTGTTTTATGTGTTTTAATGTTTCCTTGTATTAGTTTGCACTCTTGTGGACATAATGCAGAAAAAAAAAATATTCGAATGGTTCGAACCTATGAGTTATTTTTAGAAGGAATATTCGAACGTCATTTTTGAGCAATNACTGAACGCGGTGTACAGAGAGGCAGTTAGAGCTACAGGCTACATTGAGGCTAAAAGCAGAGTTCAAATGACGTTTTTCCAACAACTTTTTATGTCGGGGCTTCAAGACACTTGGATCACTGGTCAGAGAGGGGGGGCGAGCGAGAGGTCCGCGGTTGTTTATAACGTAATGTTATAGATAATTGTTTTATGTGTTTTAATGTTTCCTTGTATTAGTTTGCACTCTTGTGGACATAATGCAGAAAAAAAAAATATTCGAATGGTTCGAACCTATGAGTTATTTTTAGAAGGAATATTCGAACGTCATTTTTGAGCAATTTTAACAGCCCTACTGTGTTCTTGGACATTTTAATCTGGGTCGCTGTCAGGTACCTGTCTAGGTGTGCAGTTGTGCTGCTAGCCACTTCTCCCTCGGATTTCCGTAAGTTTTGTGAGGACTCTAAAACTTCACCAGAGCCTCCCTCAGCATATGGGTCTGTAGATAATGGCATAATGTCATTTTTGGGTGCACTATCCCTTTAAAACAGTGAGTGGGTTTATGTACACCCTGACTGAAGCCAATGGAATCTAATAATGAGATAAATGCGGTAGCCAGGGAGTCATTATCAACGTCAACATGAATGTGAAAATCGCCTACAATAATAACTTTATCTGATTGAAGAACTAAATTGGACAAAAACTCTGAGAATTCAGATACAAATTCAGAATATGGGCCAGTATGGAGATATTTTGTGGTTTCAATTATGTGTTTTTGGACGTTTGAATCTGGGGCGCCGTAAGCCTCCATTAGGTGGAGTTGCGTTGCTACCCCCTCTGTCCTTGGATCTCCGCAAGTGTTGTGAGGACTCTAAAACTTAAGGCCTTTCTCTATGCAGATTTGCTCTTTGTTCTTCATGAATGATTTACTCAGCATCTGTATTGAGCCCCTGCTTGTGTCAGAAAGTAAAGACATAGCATTACCGATGAGCCATGGCTCAAAATGAATAAACGTCTATTTCTGGAATACAGCCATGTACCTCTGGAGCCTTGAAAACGTCATCAAGGTTAACACAGTTCTCAGGGCTTATTAGTGGTGGATACAAGGCACTGAGCTGAATACACAAAGTAAGACTAAAATATGATAATCAGACATCTGAAAAATGTTGAGTCATTGTTCTCTACAGCTGGAATTACCGCAGTCCACTAACAGTGACCTGATAAAAAGGCCTGTAGCAAAGAGGATTTAGCTGGCTATTTACCAACACTAAAGATGTAAATGGACCCAAGTGCAGTTCCTCAGTCACAGTAGGGTTACAGTGTTTCTGAACGCACAGGAACATTAGCTTCATATTGACTTGTTTACTTAGCTAATATTAGTTAGCACATCAGCTATTACAGCAAGATAGAAGGTACGCCTGTAACTGAGCCGCTAATTAACATTTGTCACTTTGCAAGGTGACTAACATTTTTTATTTTTGTTGATACGGTTAGAGTTTTTAGAGTGTGACACTGGACTCAGATGACAAAATCACCCCCACAGCTGCTTTTACGAGCGGACGGGCAGGTACAAGGGAGCCCATATGTGAGGTGCATCAGTCAGGGGCCATGGAAGGTGGGGAAGAGCGTGTCGTGTGAGCCAAACACCTAAGGGCCCTGACCTTTGCAGGAGGGAGTTCTGTGTCTGGCAATGGGTATCTGGAATGACTTACAGGCTGTAGCCAACCTTCCAGATGCAGGGGTAGACAACAAAAAGTTGTCATGCAGCATACAGACAGTCTGATGCATGTCAGTCCGGGTCCATGTCATTGGTTCGACAGCCCATTGGTTCAACATCCCATTAGTCCGACTGTCCGCGGTGCTGAACGGCTCACGGCAGGTGTATGGTGCGCCACGACTGGCTTGAGGCGGAGCAGGCTCACGGCTTATGAGTTTGTCACTTTCTTTTTCATTTTAACCCACATCATGATCTTTTCCTGACCCTAACCAAGTGGTTTTTGTGCCTAAACCTAACCAGACCTTAACCACAGGGCATCATGATGATTTCGGAAAGGACTTCGGAACAATGAGTTTACTATGGTTGGAACAATGGGATGTCGAACCAATGGGCAGTTCCCTGTCAGTGCAGATTTCATTCTGAGAACATGCTGGAGAGATTATATATCTCATCTGGCCTGGGAACACCTTGGGATCTCCCAGGAGGAGTTGGAAAGCGCTGCTAGGAAGAGGGAACTCTGTATGAACTTTGCTCATCCTGCTGCCCCTGCCCAGGATAAGCAGATTAAAATGGATGGATAACTGCCTACATATTAGATGAGGGCAGATTGGTGCCTCATCACCCTGACATGCTGGCGTATTGCGGTAAGCGTGTTGTGTCATTTCCGGTGTTTCTGTGAGAACATGTCTGTGCTGCTCCAGCGAACTCTACTAGCTTGCTTTCAGTTGCTTAACATCTAATTCAAGTCTTAACCCACACTAGTTCTGTTTAGGCACTTGCTCTCCTCCTTTTTACGTCTTTCTTGCTAATCTCTTAGCTGTTGTTTGCACGCTATTAGCCTTGTTAGCTACATTAGCTTAACAATTAGCGATGGCTTCTCCTTCTGCTCTTTCTTGCTCTTTGTGCCAGATGTTTAGCTATGCCTCTGCCTCCTTTAGCGACAGTGGTAATTGTAACAAGTGTAGTTTATTAGCTGCGTTGGAGGCAAGGCTCAGTGAATTAGAAGCGCAGCTCTGCACCATGGAAAATCACTCGGTAGCTGCGGTAGTTAGCCAACCCCCTGTAGCCGGTGCGGAGCCACATAGCATAGCCTCTGCTAGCGATCCCCCGGTAACCCCCCGTGCAGCCAGGAGGCTGGGTAACTGTCCGGGAGAAGCATAGTTCCAAGCCGAAGCCCACGGTTCACCACCAGCCTGTTCATGTTTCTAACTGCTTTTCCCCACTCAGTGACACACCCGCTGAGGAGAAAACTCTGATCATTGGCAGCTCTATTCTGAGAAACGTGAAGTTAGCAACACCAGTGGCCATAAT